AATTAATATGTGCAGTCGCGCGTAACCGCTCCTGATTGGTCGAGTCACCGAAGCGTGAAGCGTGACCACGACTATATATACCACAAATTCTGACAAATGGTTCATTCGACGTCTTGTATCTACATCAGCAACATGGAAAACTTCAGAACTTTCCTTGATGTGATTGGAGTGCTCGACCCTACCAAGGTGGATTTTATTTCTGAACTTCCGCCGGAGGTGTCGCAGTTAATCCTACGCATGTTGGATCCTCGGTCTCTGCTTTGCGCTGCTAGAGTGTCAGGTAAGTGGCTGAATGTCTGCAAGGATGATCCTATCCTGAGACGAACCGCGAGACACTATAAACAGCGCATAATGCAGAGACGACGAGAACGTTTTCCTGCGGCAGCTGTTGAAGAACCAAGGACGACGGTACGGAGGGCAGTTCCAGTTCCTGCACAGGTGAGAGTAGTTGCACCTCATGTACAAGCTCGGCCAGGTTCGAGAAATTCGACGCGTGGTAAATCCATTAGAATGTAATCTTTTGTATTAATAAATTATTTAACCTGACGTGCTTCTTCCAGCAAATAATTATTATTATGTTTTAGTTAAGTAAGTGTAATATAATTCTTAATTTTTTGTTGTATTTTGACCAGCTTCTTTAATAGTAGCAATTTTTTCTTAGTTTTAACGTAGTAGAACTTATAATTTGTATCTTGACCAGTTTCTTTAATAGTAACAAGTTTTTCTCTACTTAGTTTTAATATGATGTAACTAAGAATAAAAAATATTTAATAAAATAATACATTATATTTGACGATCTCTGCAGCCAATGCGAGTAAAGTNTAAAATAATACATTATATTTGACGATCTCTGCAGCCAATGCGAGTAAAGTACAACTATAGCAGATTTCTGTGCTGACAAAATGAAAGTTCATTTATCCGCATCTCATACGTATAGACAGGGTGTCTATGAAAAGTACATATGCATAAGCGGGTACCAGGCAAGATGGCACAAAAATGTCTTTAAGACGTCTTAAAGATGTCTGGTGTAGAACATTGGCAATACGAGTCCTATCCGCGTATTACGTCAACTCCTTGCGATTAATCCACCGAAATACAAGACAGCACAATTTGTATCTCTTCGTATATCTTGTATTTTTACGGTGATGTGTAATTGGCATGCATTCCGGCGGACAGGTGATGTATGCTGTGTTTCGCGTTATACAAGAAGTGTTCCGTCACGTAGAACCCCCCTAAGACCTCTCTCGTTATGGCACGGACAAGCGTGGGTCATCTGAGGAGACGGAGACCTTTTTTGCAGCTGCCGAACATCCGGGCAGTGTCTCAGTCTTTTCTAATGATCGCGACGTGTCGTAAATCCAAAAGGCCCGAAAAAAATCCCGCAATAACACTTGAGATTTTTGAACGCGTCTTGGGAAAGTTAGTCCCAACCGTCGCGGGGATGACATCTCAAGGCCCAGAGGACCTCCCCAACCACGCAATTACGTGTCGCACCCCTCTTCAAGACAAGGCCCGTGCAGGATGGTACGAGAGGGTGGTGACGAAACGTTTGGAGGACGCTGATTGGGAAATCGTAATTTTCGAGAAAACCAATCAGTGCATCCCGGCATGGAGGTAGAGGTTCCTTCAAGAATCTCAAGTGGGGAAAAAGGTATAAAAAACGCGAGCAGTAGTCAGTTATTAGTATTATTATACTTACAGTCGCCTTCAAAAACATATATTCTCGATCCGGAGTCTCACTCGTGCGTCAAACAGTCTCAATCGTTCGGAGACTCACTCGTCGCAACCGGAGACTCATTCGACTCGGGAACTCAATCGCTCATTCATTCGAAATCGGTCAATCGGACCGATAACCATTAAAAACCGACGCGTCTTCAAACAAGTGAAGCCCGGGCCTTACAACCCCGGTAGGGTTGACGTTCGATCCCCGCGCGTCAAATAGGCGTCGTAAAAGCACGGCGCTACAAGAATTTTATACATGATGTATGATTTAGATGTATCCTAGAAAAAAGTAGGAGAACGCTTCACATACATACATTGCAGACTTTTATGCAAAATAAAAATATTGTTGCGAATCACTCCGTTTCTCTCACGTCGCGGCATTTTATTTACAATAAAGAATATAAACTATAATACAATTCAATTCAATTATGTTACAATTTGAAACGTTGATCGTTCGACGGTCCGATCTCGTCTCCTCGATTGTCTGTTGGTAATACTCTTCCGTGGCAACCCCTATTTTCTACTATTTTTTAAGGAGTTGCTCTCGAACTTCGCGCCGTCACCTCTCATTGGTCAACGTTATTCGTTAATAACTCGTAAACCAAGTCGCAGATTGCATTTTCGCAAAGGAAAAAGTTATTTGAAATGACCTCAGCTACCCCTCATTTTCGGTTGTTAAAATAATTGTGGAACACCCTGTATAGTACAAACGCAGAAAACGAACACTGAAACGTATTCTTTGGTAACAAGACGAAAGGAGTAGACTGAAGTAAATTTGCGCTGATCTATCGCGGACGGCTGCGTGGGGCCTATCTTGGGCCACGAGTGAAGTACTCAAATATCGAGCTAACTAACGTATCCAAGTCGTTTCAAAAGATTTTTGACGCTCGATTTTGATATGCCAAGTACCTCAGCAAACTCTCTTGTTGCCAAACGTCGATTTGAATCAATCAATGACTGTATTCTGTTGCTATCAACTTCGAACGGTCTTCCCGAGCGTCGAGCATCCCTAATATTAAAATCACTGGATCGAAATTTTGTAAACCAATTTTAACACTGTCTTATCTTTAAAAAGTCTTCACCGTACACGTCACATAATTTTTGAATCAATGGTTTGCGCACCTTAGAACTTAAATTTTTGGAGTTTTCTCGACAAAATCTACGAGAATATACATAAAAGAGCGAAAAATCTTTGGACCCGTAAAGTAAAGTTTAACCACAGTAGGACCTAATCGTGTGTAACATTGATAGTAAACGTGATTGTATCTTAGTAGGAGACTTCAACGTACACTACTTAAATTAGAAATGTAGGTATACCAACGGCACAAGATTTTACAACTCCCTAAAATCTGCAGATCCTATTTTACATAACGATCTTACATTCTATCTTGCACATAGCATGTACTGAAATTCTAAATCTAACATCGAGCTCTTGTTTTCCACTATGGCCTCAGTGACAAAATTCAAACACAGGTACTCTAACCACTTCCCAATTCTTTGCAACATTAAAAATAGCACATAGACACATCAGTTATGAAAACAAAAACAAATTTTATACTTGCAGAAATCCTTTGATATTTATTTCTTTCAGATTTTTCAATGATTTTAATACTTCGAACGTTGTTTTAATCTCTTTTATTAATCAGCTCACTTTGTTACTTTACTTATTTTTAAGTATATTCCCCTTTTTGGACCATATACTACGGAACGTGGATCACTTTCATACGGAATCATTGTTTTTTCACAAACGTCGACTTTAAAATTTTCTAGTGTTTTTATTAAGCCCACTTTTGTTTGGTATACTGCAAACCGTGCACCTACATGGAAAATTACAAATTAGATTGAAATAAACATGATACAAAATTTGTCAAATATTATGCATTGAACACTGGAGAATCTGTAGAAATATACAGGGTGTTGAAAAAGAGGTGTTCAAGATTTTAATGGCTTACAGTAATCAATGAGAGTAGTAAAACATTTTCAACACTCGGTATACCTACGGTCTAAAAAAATCGAATACACGCACAAAGTGGATTGAAAGTATAATTTAAGTTTCTTTGTTAAATTACCAATGCAATTTCGTGGTCCATCTCCAAAAGGTAAGTAGCTCATTGGATGTCTCGTCGCAACTGCATCATCGTCAAATCTTTCTGGGTCAAAAATTTCTGGATTTGGATAAATGCTGGAATTGTGGTGAAGTCCCAATACCGGAACATATATTCCAGTACCTTTAGGGATTGTTACTTTTGTATTACTGAAGGTGTATTCCCTGTTGCATTTTCTCTCCAACAAAGTTCCTGGTGGATACTTCCTCAGTGTTTCTGTCAATAAGAAGAATATGTGACTTGAAATATTAGATCTATAAAAAATGTATGCAAATTAGAGCTGTTACTTATATGAGATAATTTGTTTTTTTGTGATAAATAATAAAACATTGGAACAAGTAATTATAACACATTAACATCTTCAAGTTACGCTTCTAGTTAACAATATTTTCAACTATCTAAAGATGTGAATTTGCTGGTATTGTCGTCAAAACAACTAAAAACTTTAGTAATTACTATTATTAAGCTACTATTATTACTATTATTATTATAAAAAACGAATTCATCCATACGTAATATCATTACTTTTAGATGAGATTGAACACGTCATCTCGAACACCACTTAAAATATAGGTACGTACTTCTACATTAAAACACGTTCATTTTTGTGTCACTTCATTTTCCTATTAAAACGTGATTTATCGTATTCAAGGTCATCTAAAAGTCATAATAATAAACATGGATGAATTAGTTTTTTACAAATAAACGGACAATGACGAACATTTCATTTCCAGTCCTTTGTATTTTTTTGTAATTATAGCATCAAAGGATTGCTTAGATTCTTCTGATTAAAATGAATTTTATATTAGATCATATTATAGGAGTTTTAAATCAGATTAATTTAAATTATTCTCAGATTAATTAATTAGCAATTTATAATAATCGGAAGAATCTCAGTTATAGCTTGGTGCTACAATTTCAAAACTAAGTTACAAAGATTATTGAAAACAAGATTTTTCTTCCTTACAAATTTACTGCATCAGTCATGCCAGCTTAATGATATACGTCTATTTCTTTCCTTTTCTCTGTATTAAATCTATAATTTTTGTCTACTGAGATAGCAGGCTTGTGAGAGGAGTGGAGAAGGATCTTGTACATTTAACCGTGCACCGCTATAATAATAGATTCCCTGTTTGTAATCATTACATTAAGGTGCTGCATTATTGCTCTCATATTTTTTACCAATATACCCCCACGTATCGCAGTTGCCGTTAAATTAATTCAATTCAAACTTTTAAATTAACATGGAGATAGAGATAATGATCAGTTTCTCACTAACTAAGAAAATGTTATCGCAATGTTCTAGTAGTTTATCCAAAAATACAATCAAAATGATGTAACAATCTAATATTTTCATTATCATGTAATGTATGAGTATACGTACCTTTAAAAACTTTGTCCAAATATTTCATTTGTTTTACATCATCATATTTGAAAGAGCCATTGTTTTTTGTACTAAATTCTTTAATTTCTGCACGTAATTTATCTTGCAACTGCGGATTCAGAGCCATTTCATAAAGAGTGTGACAGATAGTAGTCGACGATGTTTCAAAGCCAGCTGCGAAGAAGACCATCGCTTGCGCAGTCATCAAGTTGTCCGTCAATTCTGAAATAGATCATCGGCTATTTAATTGAATTCGAATGAAACTATTCAATCATTTATTATTTATTACTTGGATAAACTTCCGAAGGGGCTCTGCTGTCGTTAAAGAAAAATAT